TAGCTATGACGAAGTTAACACAACTCCTACATTTAAATTACGTAATGAAAACTGCCTAATCAATACGTAATTAAAAAAAAAAAAAAAACAAATATTTAAAAAATACTCTTTACATTGACGTTATAAATATGTTGTTATTTAAATAAAATAAATATTGTTGAAATAATTTATTGTTATTTTTGTAGTGTATATAATATATAGTGTTAATATGTATAAATATATTTTGTAATAGTTACATGATAATAATATTATTTTGAATTATGATTAAAGGCATTAGAAATTAAAAATCAAAGTCTTAAGAATAGAATAACACTTCATACGTGTATTTATATCATACATATACTCCAACATAAGTTCAAATTTGATKTTCATATACCAATATAATTTTACATTTTTATATTTAAAAATTTAAAAAAATTATTCATGAGTTATCTGTTTTCAGTTATTAATTATATATGTTGTAATGTAAACATAACATAAGATAAATCTTAAAAATTACCTTTTACGTCTACACAACCAATTTGTTTTTTCATGACATGCGTGTTAATCTGGCACATATAACATCCTTTGTCAGATCTTTGTAGTTGCCGAATCTTGAGTCTCCAATACGTGTTATTATCCACATCTATGTCTATTCTTCGGTTTTCGGTAACTACACGTTCGTGTAAACTTAATATGGTCTGGTCTTCTGCTTTTAACCAGCCAACCTATTTAATATATACATATATAAAAAAAGAAATTAAACATATTGGTTATTTCATAAAAATTATGTATATATGTGTAAAAATGATAAATTAAAGTTTTTTAAATTTTGAATGGAGCGGTGAATGTATTGACTTTACAATGATGTGTGCTCTTAATTTTTGTGTTTTTGAGGAGGTAGTAAAATTTGAAAATTCCCTCGACTTTTAAAATCAATCAGGTAAAAAATAATGAAATATGGAAAATGAGACAATTTCATTTCTGAAAAGTAGGTGTCGAGTATACCTCGTCCTTGAGTATACCTACAGTTAGCCTATATAAAATATGTGTTGAACTTAAAAAACACATAGGTACTGCGTGTGTATTATATCTTCTTAAATTCTTAAGTGTTGAATTTTRATTCAATGAAATGTCCCTGTCAACGAAAAAATGTTTCTGAGTGAAAACCAATTCTAGCCAGTCAGCCTATATTACTATCTAAGTATATTAAGAGAACGCTACACCCGCATGTGTTGTCTCCGTCTTACAAGTGCRTAACATTRCWAAAACTRTTTCGCGCGGGAAAGAACCGAGAAAGATACAGTTATAACTAAGAAACGAAATTTTCACCACATAAAAAGGAGAATTTTGTCTGTGCAATATCGTTTTTATTTTTTCGATAT